TTGAATTAAGATCCTGTAGCCCTGGTTAGCTGGGGGCTGAAGAATCAGCTGTGATTAACAAGAGACCAGAACTACTAATGTGAAACCTTTATGTTAGTGGGACAATGGATGGTGGGTTGGCTGGAGCTATGAAATTAGCAGTGATTAAGAAGAGACTGGTATCACTGGAGTGAAGTCTTCTGGGAAGTGTTTCCTGAGAGCATAGAGAAGCTGTGTTCCAGAGGTGACCAAGGTTGTACCTCGTGCTGGCAGCCGGACTTGGTGCTGTGTAAGCAACCCAGGTGGTACTGGCTTTGAAGGCATGGAAGGGTCCTGGAGAGCAGCTGAGGCTCGGCACCGTGAGAGGCCAGGAGATGCGGTTGGTGAAGGTGCAGCCTCAGTGGCAGTTGAAGGCTCAGGACTGAAGTGGTCGTGCAAGGAAGCAGAGGCTTGGCATCTTGAGGAGAGCCATTGAGAGGCTCCTGGTGAAGGCCAGCCCAGCTGCAACAAGGGCCCCAGTGTTTTGGAGATGCCAGTACCATGGGAAAATCACCGAGGCAGAGCCACAGCAGAGGATGGAGCCAGTTGAAGGCTAGAAGACACCCTGTGTGTGCTGCAGAGGGCAGGGTCAGAGAAGTGACCCAAGCCCTTTGGAGGAGCCCAGATCATGAGTGGATCCCAGATACTGGATAGTTGGAGTTCGGTTTTGCTTTGATTGTGACTGCCTTGGTTCTTCCCTCTTGAAGTAAGAATGTATTTTACTGGAGCCCACAGTTGAGAGACTTGGATTTTTAAAGAGGTGACTGTTTTAAAGGAACTGAAATTGTAATGTGTTTGAATTTGTAAAGACTGTGGGTCTCTTAAAGTTATTTAAGATCATGGGGATGAGTAAGAAAGGAAGGACTTTGGCTTAATAGTGATGTGTTTGTGTGTCAAGCTGACAAGGGGTCAGTTGTACTGGGTGGCTTTGTGTGTCAGTTTGACACAAGTTAGAGTCATCAGAGGAAGGAGCCTCAGCTGAGGAAATGGAAATGCCTCCTTGAGTCCCAGCTGTAAGGCATTTTCTCACTTAGTGATCAATCGGGGAGGGCCCAGGCCATGGTGGGTGGTGCCATCCCTGGGCTGCTGGTCCTGGGTTCTGTAAGAAAGCAGGCTGAGACAACCATAAGCAGCAAGCCAGTGGGCAGCTCCCTCCATGACCTCTGCATCAGCTCCCTCCATGACCTCTGCATCAGCTCCCTCCATGACCTCTGCATCAGCTCCCTCCATGACCTCTGCATCAGCTCCCTCCATGACCTCTGCATCAGCTCCCTCCATGACCTCTGCATCAGCTCCCTCCATGACCTCTGCATCAGCTCCCTCCATGACCTCTGCATCAGCTCCCTCCATGACCTCTGCATCAGCTCCCTCCATGACCTCTGCATCAGCTCCCTCCATGACCTCTGCATCAGCTCCCTCCATGACCTCTGCATCAGCTCCCTCCATGACCTCTGCATCAGCTCCCCTCCATGACCTCTGCATCAGCTCCCTCCATGACCTCTGCATCAGCTCCCTCCATGACCTCTGCATCAGCTCCCTCCATGACCTCTGTATCAGCTCTTGCCTCCAGGTTCCTGCCCTGTTTGAGTTCCTGTCCTGACTTCCTTCAGTGATGAACAGCAATGCTGAAGTGTGAGGTAAAGAATCCCTTTCCTCCCCGACTTACTGTTTCGTCATGGTGTTTCATCACAATACGAACCCTAAGACCTCCCTCCGTCTCGCCCTCCCTCTCTCCTTCCTTCCTTCCTTTCTCTCCTTCTCTCTTTCTTTCTTTTTGTGGTTTTTTTGAGATAGGATTTCTCTGTGTGGGTCTGGCTGTTCTGGAACTCACTCTGTAGAGCAGGCTGGCCAGAAACTCAGAAATCCACCTGCCTCTGCCTCCCCAGTGCTGGGATTTAAGTTGTATACCACCACACCTGGCGACCTATAGTCTTATTAATACAATAGCAATTTGCCATATTTTATAATTATTTATTTGTGGCCATTTTTATTTGCTTATAATTTTAATCTTGTTGCTAGTATTGGTTTTACAGATGACAAAGGTTCTCTGTGTGTAGCCACAGCAGCAGAAGCTAATTAAAAAGGACACCTGGGAGGCAGGGGCAGCTTACAGGTATCTGTGAGTTTGAGGTCAGCCTGGTCTACTTAGTGGGGTCCAGTCGAGACTATCTCAGCAGATACGGAGGGAGAGGAGGACGACACAGATCCTGTGTATAATCCTGCCATCCTAGCCTTTCATGCGTGTATATATCCTGGCATCCTAGCTGTTAAGCCACTGTAAGCACACAATTGATGCTTGATAAGTATCTTGAAATGAGCAAAATAATAGTGGAAGAATATATATGAGATTAGACAAGTCAAGTAACATTGGACAGGCAATATGTAAAACCAAACAAAAGTCTATGCATAAAAAAGGGAAAATACCAAAATATGGACAGTAATTGTGTAGATTACAGGTTTTAGTATGACATATTTTTATGCATCTACCTGTGTTTTTGTCTTTTTTGGGGGGGTGGGTGTACAGTAGGGAGAGAGTTGAGACGGCCTTAAGTAGCCCATGCAGGCCTCTAACTCAGTATACAGGTGGAGGATGGCTTTAAACTCCTGATCTACTTCTCCATTACAAGTGTTCCGACTACAAATGAGAACCACTGCAACTTCCACAGTGAGGAAATGTGTTTTGTTGGGCAAGGGATGGCTCAGTGGTTGAGAGCATTGGCTGCCTCTCTAGAGGATGTGTTCTGTTGGCTGCACCCAAGCTGGGTGGTTGGCTGCCTGTACCCCCAGCTCCTCTTCTGGCTCTCCGTGTCACCATGCCCCCAGGTACATGGTGTATAATCATATAGCCATGAAAAATAAAAATAAATCTTTAAAGGGGTATCAAGATGGCTCAGTGTACAAAGGTCTTGTTACTAAGCCTAAAAATCTGAATTCTATTCATGTTACCCACACAGGTGGAAAGAGCTACATGCACATAGCCATATTTGATTTTGTTCTAGAAAGAGGGTCCTCTGATGAGAAACTCAGCATCAGAACACAAAAAATTGCTGTCGTACTAAACTCAGAACTATGAGAAAATAAACCAGAGGTGGAATAATATTTGGAAGAATAAGACATAACTCTTTACAGTATAGTTATTAATCAACCAGAGAACAATGAAAACTGGTCTATATTTGGGGAAATGTGCCATTAGGTCTTGGGCACAGCACAGATCAGTTAGAGCCACTACCATAAAGTGGTAACTAAAGCAGTCATGGCAACCAGTTTGGCTTAAGGCCCAGTTAATAAACATTGCTTCTGTGTCCATTAACATTTTTTGCACAGGCAATGATGAGCTTCCTGTCTTGATTATACTCTAAATGAAAGTACTCAGAGATCAAAGTCAGTTTTTGATATCAGAATTTGACTAAGAACATATTTTCATGTATTCACAATTCTTTTCTTTTTAGGTAGGAAGCCCACACAGGCCTCGAATTCACTATGTAGCTAGGGATGACTCCCTCCCTCCCTCCCTCCCTTCCTTCCCTCCTTCCTTTCCTTCATTTTCTGACACAGGGTTTCTCTGTGTAGTCCTGGCTGTCCTGGAACTACTCTGTAGACCAGGCTGGCCTTGAATTCATAGAGATCCTCCTGCCTCTGCCTCTCAAGTGCTGGAATCAAAGGTGTTCGCCACTGCTGCCCTGTTAAATGCTTTTGTTTCTGTTGTGTGTGTGTGTGTGTGTGTGTGTGTGTGTGTGTGTGTGTTACATGGAGTCTCTTTATGTAGCCTGGGTCCTCTGGAAAATTAACAAGTGCTCTCTCTTTTTAAATTAAAAATAGGGTTTTTTTTTAAACCATACAATATATTCTGGTTATGGTTTCCCCTCCTCTACCCCCTTCTAGAGCATCCCACTTCCCCACCCCTTCTCTTAACAGAATACAAACAATACTCTTAACCACTGAGCCATCTCCAGCTGGACAGTGAATTGCTGATCCTTTTGTCTCTAATTCTCAAATGCTGGTATTATATGTGTGCCACTATACTTGTGGATTATTCAATTAATAATAGTTGGTAACAATCATTTGCAGTATGTCAGTTTTATTGTATTATAAATCATTTGTTAGCATATATTAATTATACCTAGTAACACCTAGTAACAGGTTTCATTATGGCAAGTACATAATGTGATTAAATCCTATTTGCCTCCTGTTACCCTGTATTGTCTCCTGCTCCTCTAAGCCATCTCTCCACAAGATCCGGTGCTTATCTTGCATAGCAAACACTCTTACCCACTGACCCATCTCTCCAGCCTCATATTGGAATTCTAAGTTCTCCACAGGCAAAAGGCTTTGATTCCTGGCTGAGAGGCTAGTTTCCTCTCTCCGGTTCACAATTATCTCCTTCTGTCTTGCTTCAGCCTCGCTGTGTAGCATAGGCTGGTTTCGAACACTCAACCTTCCTGTCTCAGCCTCCTTAGTGCTTGCATTACAGACGTGTACTTCCAGGCTGTGACCTTATCTTCATATAAACAGGGGCAAGTCGACTTCTACAATGGTCAAGGGACTAACAACGGGATAAAGCAGGAAACAAAATAGTGACCCCACCCTCTTAGGCTTTTAGAGAGACAACCAACAGCAAGCGGCTACAGGCTGACTTGGTGGGTGATGATGGCGGCATAACCTGTTGAGTCTGTCAAGCATCTTTGTGGTTTTGTTTTGTTTTTGTTTTTCTGTAGGAACTACAGGATACTCGGGTGCCCGCTCAGGGCAATACGGGGAGGCCTCCGGGAATGTGTGTGGGTGAGCAGCGGACACTTAGCACGGCAGGCTCCTGGCAGTGCGGTTACAGGCTATGAGCCAAGACCAAAGGAGGAAGGTGTCCCCGGGAAGGCGGCAGCCAACGCGTGGGACCACAGCGACACCTGGCTCTGGCCGAAAGGCGTCCCTGCTCTGCAGAGGGGCCGGGACCTGCTGGGGGCGTGGCCTCGGGAGGGGCGTGGCCTCGGGGTCGCGGGGCACGCGCGATGCGGGTGTCATGGCGACCTCCATGCTTGGTTCCATCCGCGGCCCAAGTCCTTTGGGTTTGCCCGGGCTGTTCCGTCGTCGGCCGCCTCGGGATGTGTGGGAGCGTGCGCGGCGGCTCCCGGGACCCTCGGCAGTCCGCCGCAGCGTGGCGGCGACCAGCGGGCCCGGCATCCCGGGTTCCGACCATTACTGCCTGGAGCTGCTGAGGTGAGCGGTGGCGCTGCGCCCTCCGGGTCCTGCGCTCTGCTGGGCTCCCTGCGGGTGCCCGTTCACGTGGCCGTGGGATCCTGGCAGGATTCGTCCTCTGCTCAACCCCCCACCCGGCTGACCCCTAATTTTAAGGGACCTTGCAATTTTGCGTGCTGAGCACTTTTTATTCATAGGCAGCTAGCGACTTTAACACCGGCAAGCGATTTTGGGTGTGTGCGCTGCACCATTAAACGTGCTTCACAGAGGCTGCGGATTTAGCCCCGTTTATGGGGTGCTTGCCTAGCGTGCACGAGGGTTAGTTAGATCAGCAGCGTCTCCCAAAACCTGGCACACACGCCTGTGACTCATCTTCTTAGGAGATAGATAGAGGCTGGAGCGGAGGTGGGGGTGTGTGGGGTGGGGATATGGGGATGGGGGTGATCAAGGTCATCTTTGACCGCACGTCAGCCTCATGAAACTGTACTAAAAATTGTTTACAAGCATAAAGTCCAAGCAACTAACTTAATGGTCCTTCAAATTGCGACTTCCATCAAGTGTTGTAAGAATTAGAGCATTTAGGAGCTGGAGAGATGGGTCAGCTGTTAAGAGCACAGGCTGATTTGGAGGACCTGGGTTCGATTCCCAGCACCCACATGGCAGCTCACGACTGCCTGTAAGTCCAGTTCCAGAAGAGCCAACCCCCTCTGGCCTTCCTAGGCACTAGGTAGGCATGTGATGCATATACATAAAATATATAAACTAAATAATAAGTTTAACAATTAGAGCATTTAGATCAATGCCTGGCACAGAGTTATCTTATTTAATAGATGATCACACTTCATGTCAGATCAAGGGAACAAGGAATTTGCCCGAGATTAACTAGAACAGTCTCATGACTTGTGTTTTGTCCCCGTGGTGTCAGGAAAGACATCTGGGAGTTCCTCCACAGACATATGTGGGGCTGTGGGGTAGGTTGGGCCTCCCCCCCTCCCGTCAACGTTTGTGTTAACAACACCCACCCTCGCCACACCTTCGAGATTCCTTTCCTTGCTAACAGTGGTATCTTACAGGGTTTGTTTTGAGACAGGGTCTTTTTTTATTTTTTATTTATCTTTTTTTAAAAAGTTTTTTGAGGCAGGGTTTCTCTGTTTAACAGTTCTGGCTATTCTGGAATTCACTCTATAGACCAGGCTGGTCTCCATCTCACAGAGATCCACCTGTCTCTGCCTCCAGAGTTCTGGGATTAAAGGCGTGTGCTACCACCGCTGGGCAGAGACATGGTTGGGTTTGTAGACAAGCTAGGTTGGCCTGGATGTCACAGAGATCTGCCTGTCTCTTCCTTCCAAGGGCCAGGACTAAAGGCCTGTGCCAGCAGTGTTTTGTTTGTTGGTCTTTGTTTTTAAAGATGTGTTTTGCCTGAATGTATTTATGTATGCACCTTGTGCGTGCCTGGTGCCCCAGGTCAGAAGAGGACATCAGACCCTCCGGGACAGTTGTGATGCTGGGTACCAAACCAGGGCCCTCAGAAGAGCAACCTGTGCTCTTAACTGCTGAGCCATCCTCTGTCCCCAGCATCTGATTTTAAATGCCTAGTTTCCGGGGCCTCTAAACCAGTGGCTCTCACTCTTCCTAACGCTGGGACCCCTTAATACAGTGCCCATGTTGTGTTGACCCGGAACCCTAAAATTACTTTTATTGCTACTTCATAACTGCAGTTTTACTATTGTTAAGGATCATAATGGAAATATCTGTGTTTTCCATTGGTCTTAGGTAACCCCTGTAAAAGGGTCATTCAACCCCAAGAGGTAATGAGTAACCCTCAGGTTGAGAACCACGGGCTAAGTTGTAAATAAAAATAAAACATAGATTTCCTTTTTAACATATTTGGGATGAGAGGCAGCCTCCCAAGTGCTGGGATTAAAAGCTTTTTTTTTTTTTTTGGTTGTTGTTTGTTTTTTTAAATAATTGTAGAAAGTTATATAATTTAAGAACAAGGCCTACTGTGACCCGAAGCTTGTTTTCGGTTGTTTTTTGTCAGTATTTTGTGTGTAGCTTAGGGTGAAGACTAACTACTCGTCTTTCTTTTGCTCTGTGTTGTAGGAAGCGGGATTATGAAAGCTACTTGTGTTCCCTGCTGTTCCCTGCAGGGTGCCGAAGCTCTGTTTCTGCACTGAGGGCCTTCAATGTGGAACTGGCTCAGGCTGGTATTAAAATATTCTGACAAGTTGCTTGTGGGATATGCTTGATACTGTACAATCAAGACAGAGTAATTCATGTTAGATGTACTTTAAGTTTCTGTTAATGTTTTTTTTTTCCTACTACTTAGGCTTAGTTCAGTACTGAAAAATAAAACCAGCTGGTGAATTGAATGTTTCTGGAAATGATTCTGGATTTTCAAGTTTTTCTGAGGATATTACAGATTTGCAATTAGCATTGTCTTTTAATCTAACTAATGAGAATCATGCTGCTTTCTCTTAACAGTTGCATACTTTGTGTGTATATAGAGAATTGGAAAGGTTGAAATTGAATATGAAGTTGGATGAACAGTATTTTGGCAGAACTACATGGTAGAGTCCAGAGAGTCTAGCAGACCATGGCTGGTTTCTCTCAGAATTACAGGGGAGACGAGAGCCTTTTTCCTCAAGCGGACAGAACGCTTAAAGTGTGCGGAAGGGGAGGGCGTCAGGAGATGCTTTTGGTCTTCTCAGGACGGCGAGTGGGGAGGTCAGATGCTGGCAATAAGGACAAGGAGGTGTGGGGTCTTAGAGAAAGTGGCACAGGTACGCACGTTATTAACCCCATGAGCGAGCTTAATTCATGTACAGAACAGGTTATTGCCACGACTAGTGCCAAGGAGTGTGTGTGTGCACCTCCTGGTAGCTCACCTTTCCCCTGCAGCCTTGGCTACCATCCTCTGTCCCAGTGAGCCTGTCCTTGTCCTCAGCTAAACTTCCTCCTCCCTGGAAAGTTTAGATGCCACCAGCAACTCCCCAGGGACACTAAGGCATCTGCACCATACAATTACTCTGTTTTTGCTTGTTTGTTTTGAGATAGGATCTCACTATATATCCCTGGCTTTCTTGTAGACCAGGCTGTCCTGCCTCCCAAGTTCTGGGAATAAAGATGTACGCCATGCCACGCTCCATGCAATCGCTCGTACATATAGGGGTGTGAGAGTAGGAAAATCTTCCTTGGTTTATCTTTTTTTTTTTTTTTCGAGACAGGGTTTCTCTGGCTTTGGAGGCTGTTCTGGAACTAGCTCTTGTAGACCAGGCTGGTCTTGAACTCACAGAGATCCGCCTGTCTCTGCCTCCCAAGTGCTGGAATTAAAGGCATGCGCCAACCCCCCTCCGGCTCCTTGGTTTATCATTTTAAAGAAAGGTTTTTAAAAAATGTTATGTGTGAGTGTTTTGCCAGCATGTATGTATGTATGTATGTATGTATGTATGTATGTATGTATGCTGCATATGTGCCTGGTGCCCATGGAGGCCAGAAGTTTGTGGCGGGTCCCCTTGAACTGGAGTTTCAGATGGTTGTGAGCCACCACCAAGTGCCCTCAACTGCTGAGCCATCTCTCCAGCCCTGTTGAGTCATCAGTTTTGAGGGGAAAATGTGGTGGTTATCCTCATACAATTGATGTTGGATAACTGAAGTTAGTCACTAAAGAAAAAAATCAAGTTGCAGATTTGGGATCCACAGTACCGAGCAGTTCAGAGCTGATGCTCAGAGCTGGTGTTCAGAGCTGATGCTCAGAGCTGGTGTTCAGAGCTGATGTTCAGAGCTGATGCTCAGAGCTGATGCTCAGAGCTGATGCTCAGAGCTGATGCTCAGAGCTGATGTTCAGAGCTATGGGTGAAGCTCCTGCAGCTGGCTGCGCTTTCCCTGTCCCTCACAAAAAGTGTTTTTGACCATGGGAGCGAAGAATACTCACACTTAATATATGCCAAGAGTCAAAGCAATCCAAATGCTGCAGTGGTTCTCAAAAAGCAGATTTGGGGACACAGAGTGACAGTGGAAGAGGCCTGTTGCTGAAGAAAAGGGCTTGTTGCTTTGATTTCTTTGAGACTGCTTGCATATAACCCAGGTTGGCTTTGAACTTGCTGTGTAGCTGAGGATGCCTTGATCCTCTTGCTCCGTCTGCCATGTGTTGGCTTACGGGTTAGTGCTACTACCCCAGCTCAAGAAGAAACCATTGTTTTATTATTTAATGTGTATAAGTGTTTTCCTATTTTCGTGTCTATGTACCATGTGTTCAGCTGGTGCCTGTGCAAGCCAGAGAAGGTATTGGATCTCCTGGAACTGAAGTTATAGACAGCTGGGAGCCACCATGTGGTTGCTGGGAATTGAACCCAAGGCCTTGGGAAGAGCAGCCAGTGCCCAGTGCTCTTAACTGCTGAGCCATCTCTCCAGCCCCGCCCCAAGAAACAACTTTTTTTTTTTAGACAGGACTTCTCTGTGTTACAGTCCTGACTGTCCTGGAACTCGTTTTTGTAGACCAGGCTGGCTTTGAACTCACAGAGGCCTGTCTCTGCCTCCCAAGTGCATCGGGGGCTGGAGAGATGACTCAGTGGTTGAAAACACTAGCTGGTCTTCCAAACATCCTGAGTTCAATTTCCAGCAACCACATGATGGCTCACAACCATCTGTGATGAGACCTGGTGCCCTCTTCTGGCGTGCAGAGGTGTGTGCAGCCAGAACACTATATACATAGTAAATAAACTTTAAAAAACAACTCTTAAAGCAGTGAAATGGCTCTGCAGAGTAGAAGTACTTACCCCACAAACCTTGCAACCTGAGTTTGACCCCCAGAACCTACATACCAGAGAGCTGACTCACCAAGTTGTCCTCTGATCTCCATTGATTTATATACAGTTAATTTAAACAAGGTCTCATTCTGTAGTCCAGGCTGGCCTGGAGTTTACTACATAGCCCAGGCTGTCCTCGAGCTCTTGGCCCTTGTTTTACCTCCCGAATCCTGGGGTTATAGGCATGAGTCACCACATCTGGCTTATATATTATGTTAATAAAAGAGATTAATTAGTACCATCAAGGGGAATGTTCATTATAAGTTTTTTTTATGAGTTTATTTATTTATTTTTTAAATTTTATTTTCCAGTTTAAATTTAGATAAGAATCAAGGTTGCTTCACAAGTCAGTTCCAGGTCCCTCTCCCATTCCCGCCCTTCCTCCCGTGGCCCCCCCCCGTTATCCCCTCATTTCTCCAGGGAGGGTGAGGCCCTCCATGGGGGTGTCCATAGTGTGTCATTTCATATAGGGCAGGGCCTAGACCCTTTCCCAAGAGTTCAGGGTGAGAGTGCACCTCACATTGTTCTCATTATAAGTTTTACAGTTTGTGTTGGCTCTGAAAAATGTAGTCATGTATTATCCACCATAGTAATGGTATAGGAGAGTTTGGTTAGCTCAGAAATCCCTCATAATACTTGGTTTTCAGACAATAAGTTGTCTTCATTTGTTGTTTCTGTTGTGGGGTTTTAACCTAAGACTTTCATACATAGACAAGCACTCTACCAGTGAACTACGTCTCCAGCCTAGAGTTTCTAAACTCTGTTTACAGGTTAAGGACTCGGTCTCTGAGAAAACAATTGGACAGATGCGAATGCAGTTCTGGAAAAAAGCTGTGGAAGATATGTACTGTGACAACCCACCACACCAGCCTGTGGCCATCGAACTCTGGAAGGTAAATATGCATACTGACAGGCGCGTGTATACACTTCTGTTAATATACAAGAGCTGTATTTGAGCCTACTTGCTGGTGAATGTAATTCCGATAGCAGTAACGGTAGTGGAATCTGTCCTGAGCAGTCCTGGGCTCCTTTAGTGTTCTGAGCTTCGTGTTGGGTACTTGCCTTGCTGCGGCAAAATCTCCTTTAGGAAGGAGAGGTTTATTTGGTCTACAGTTCCAAGGGTACAGTCCATCATGGTGGGGACGTGTAGCTTCAGGAATGGGAGAGTCGCTCACGTTGCATCCAGTCGGGAAGCAGGGGGCAATAAATGTGTATAAATACTTGTGTTCAGCTTGCTGCCCACTTTAAGCATTACTTTATTGAGAGAACGAGAGAGACAGAGACAGAGAGACACAGAGAGAGACAGAGAGAGAGAGAGAGAGAGAGAGAGAGAGAGAGAGAGAGAGAGAGAGAGAGAGAGAGAGCACAAGACAGAGCCATGGAGTACGTGTGAGGGTCAGAGTTCAACCTGTGGGGACTCAGCCCTGTTCTTCTACCAGGTGGGTTCTGGGGATTGAACTCAGGCTCCAGCTTGAGGCAAGTACCTTTACCTGCTGAGTCATCTCAGTGGCCCTCAACCTCCGTCTTTTCATTCAGTCTTCCACCCTAGCCCATGGAGTACTATTGCTCACATTTACAATGGGTCTTTCCACTTCAGTTAACCTAATGTAGATAACTGCTCAGTTACTGTGTGTGTGTGTGTGTGTGTGTGTGCGCGCGCGCGTGCAGGGTACCTTCCTCTATTGCTCTACACCTTATTTTTTGAGTTCAAGTGTCTCATTGAATCTAGAACTGACCATTTAGCCAGACTGGCTGACCAGCAAGTCTCCAAGATCTTCCTGTATCTACACACATACACACACACACACACACACACACACACACACACACACACACACACACCCCTACCCCTTAGTTGGGATTATAGAAGTGTGTCACCATGCCTTGCTTACATGGGGGCTGGGGATCCACACTCAGGCTGTCCCCCTATCGTAGAAGTACTTTACACATTCACCTACCCTGCCAGCTCCTATTTCTTTGGGGAGTGTGTATGTGCATGGGTGTGTCCAGAAGACGGTCTTGAGTCTCATTCTGCAGGCACAGCCATTTTGTTGTTGTTGTTGTTTGTTTGTTTGAGACAGGATTTCTCGCTATACCTGGAGCTGACTAAGCAAGTTCATGAGTGGCCAGTGGGCCACAGGATCTCAGCTGCCATTACAAGCATGTGGCCCCATTCCTAGCTTTTCCAGTGGGTTCTGGGTGGGGACTCAGGTCCTTATGCTTGGGTATAAGCACTCTACTGATTAGGCTATGTCACCAGACCCTATGTTTCTTTTTTAAATGGAATTAAACGTAACTTAGTTATATTTAATTTATTATTCTGTATATGTGTGGTGGGGGCAGGTGGGAGGGATAGGGAGAGAGGAAGAGGACAGGTATTGGAATGCTACAGAACACACATGGTGGTCCAACAGAGGACAAGTCAGCCGTCCTCATCCACTGCCAGATTCCATGCAGTGAATTCGGGTAGTCAGACTTGCTCAGCAGGAGTGTTTACCTCCGGAGGCGTCTTGCTGGCCCTGGCTTTTTTTGTTTTTTGTTTTTCTTTAAGTGGAAAACGAATATTGCCTGTATATTATAAACTACTTATGTTTTCTACACAACTAAATCTTTTCCTCCTTATGTATTTTATTGTCAGAGTATTTTATTGTCACAGCAACAGAAAGCAAGCTAGAACAAGCCCTGAGCTGTATCCCCAGCCTTGTTTAATCATTTACAAGTGTTCTATCTTCCTCTCTTGTGTTCTCCACATTTATTCTGTCTCTCCCTTTCCCTCCCTCTTACTATGTGCATACACACGTGTGTGTTTGTGTATATGTGTGTATATATATTCACACAATTCTTCCTAACTCACTTGAGTATGTTATGTCATTTCCATAATGTAATACACCAAGTATTTTGGGATTTTCCGATAATGGGGGTATTTTCCTGCCGAGTGTAAGAGTGCTAACCCTAATCCTAATGCCTGGGAGGCCGAGGCAGTAGGCCTGGAAGTCACAGCCTAGGATTCGGGACAAGACCCGTCTCAAAAGAAAGCATGTACCCCCTCTGTACCCCAAAAGGATTAGAGACAAGTCTCTCCTATAGCTAGAACAGCTTGAAAATTCAACTAATTTACTCCTACCACCCCATCCCATGTTTCTCTCTATAGTCAGGATGGTTTGGAATTCACCATGTAATCCCAGGCTGGCCTAGAACTTGTAGCAATCCTCCTGCCTCAGCATCTCAAGTGCTGAAATTACAGGTGTGCCTCATCATGCCCCAAGTGACATAGTCTTTTTGTTTCTTGTGGTACTGAAGACTGAAGTTAGGACTTCTCACGTACTAGGCACGAACTCTACCATAGACTTACAGCCTGCCCCCCACCCCCACCATGTACTCCCCAGCTCCATGCCCCCTTCTCATGCCTGCCACCGACATTTCTTTTTCTTTCCTTTTCCCCCCCCCCAAAACAGGATTTTTCTGCGTAGCCCTGGATGTCCTGGAACTCACTCTGTAAACCAGGCTGAACTCAAACTCAGATCTGCCTGCCTCTGCCTCCCAAGTGCAGAGGTTAAAGGTGCACGCCACCACCATCCAGCCATTTTCTTAAGAAATATAGTCAGTCAACCTTTTTTTTTCCTCTCTAGACATTCATTTTGAATTTGTCTTAATATTTTTTCATTAAGTATAGGTTATGAATTCTTGGTGGAGTGCTTAATAGAAAATGTATCCTCACGGTATCACTTCTGGAGAGACACTTGTCCACCCTGTCACCGCCACTTATTTATTTATTTGTTTTTTGTTTATTTATTTATTTATTTGGGCCTTGCTCTATAGCTCAGACTCAAACTTACAATGATCCTCCTTTCCTGGGCTTCCCAAGTACTGGGATTACAAATGTGTGGAACCACGCCCTGTTCTCAGGGCTTTTAGGTGCTCTTCGTTTAGGGGAAGTGGTTATTTTTGCTAATGAGACTCTGCTCTGAGAGAAAGACTGAATGTACATAAGCACCGAAGTCAGGTGAGGCAGCAGCAGCTCACTACTGAGTTCTTGATTTTATTTAAAAGTAATCGGGCATATGAGGGGGTTTAGAGGAAGGGAAGGGAGAAATAAAACAAAAAAAAATGGAGGCACCTAGCCGGGCGGTGGTGGCGCACACCTTTAATACCAGCACTTGGGAGGCAGAGGCAGGGGGATCTCTGTGAGTTCGAGGCCGGGCTGGACCGATAGCCTCCGAAACAATACAGAGAAACCCTGTCTCATAAAAACCAAAAAAAAAAAAAAAATTGGAGGCGCCTAACATTGAAAAAGAAGAAAAAGGAAGAGCATAGACTCATTAGATGTGTACCAGTACGGAGGGGGGGGGGGGGGGGAAAGCCATACGGAGTCCCTCTACTTGGAAACGGCCTGACACGATTTCCTGGATCATTGCTTTTCTCCTGGTGTCTTGTCAGCCAAGCTGCCTATCTGATAAGTTGTAACAAGTGTTCTCCTACCTAACTTTGCATTGTATAGTGTATTTTGTTCATATCTAGAGAAGTCATTTCTAGTACCTTCTGAAAATTTACAATACTTTTGTTTTTTTTAGGCTGTCAAGAGACACAATCTAACTAAAAGATGGCTTTTGAGAATCGTTGATGAAAGAGTAAGTTGGGATTGCCCAAGTCTTAAGTGTTTTCCCTTCTTGACCTTTAGGTTAATTATTTGTAGAGGAAACATTTTTGTTTGCGTGTTAATTTTTTGGAGGAAGGAAACTTAGAGAACAAAGGTATTTTATCTGTAGTCCATCCTTATGTCCATACCTGTCACCCCACCCCCTACGGCCATCAGGTAGAGACTGGCACCCAAACAGAAGGCCAGCACCTTGGCGCGTGTGTACACGCGAGTGCGTGTGTTCGAAGGTATGTAATCACAGGCATAGGTCACATGCCAAGATAGCTGGTCTTGTTTCATGTATATTCTAACTCTCTTCATCAACTCCACTGGATGTTTTAAAGAAGCAAACTAGGGGTTGACTAGAGTTGCATCATTTAATCAGTAAATGCATATGTATCTTAAAAAAAAAAAAAGACTTTCTGGACTGGGGAGGTGTCTCAGTGGTAAAGCTTTGTAATGCTAGGTTTAATCCCTAGCAATACAAAATTTAAGTCAGTGGATAAGAAAGCAGATAGAAGAAAGCTTTGAAGAACATAACTACATGTGATCACCATACCTTAAAAATGACTCATTTCTTGACACCACCAACTGCCTTTGGTAAGGCAGTACACACATCTGCCCTGCTGCTTAGATGTGTCCAAGAAGTAAAGACAATGAAGTCCCATGGATGGGGATCATTGTTAACTGCTCAGTGCTAAATTCTCCCATCCAAGTACTAACCAGGCCCGACCCTGCTTAGCTTCCGAGATCAGACGAGATCGGGCGCGTTCAGGGTGGTATGGCCGTAGACGCTCAGTGCTAAATTCTGACCCAGCCCAGCAGCTACTGCTCTGGGCCTGGCGTCCTCATTGTCAGAACAATGTACATTTACTTTATTTACTTACTCTTTAATTTTTTTTTTCAGACAGGGTCTCATATAGCCCAGGCTGGCCTTGAACTTACTTGTGCAGGATGACCTTGAACTTCTGACCCTCTTGCTTGTAGTGATTACATGTCTGTGCCACTGAGCCTAGTTTTCATGCTGTGCTGGGTTTATGGATGTTACCCACCGGACTACATCCCTGGCCCTTAAGTTGTTATTACTGTTTTTATTTAAAAGATTTCAGCAAGGACATTCTTATTTCAGGCAAAAAAAAAAAAAGTAGCATTTTTCATTGTAGAGTAATAATTGAGCATCTTGTGTTGTATCTGGCTTCAGGAGAAGAATCTGGATGACAAAGCGTATCGCAGTATCCAGGAGCTGGAGAACTACGCTGAGAACACGCAGAGCTCTCTTCTGTACTTGACGCTAGAGGTGTTGGGTAAGGCGCTCTTCTCCTCCGTGCCTCAGACTGCACTTATGGTTTCCTTGTGTTGTCCATGAAGTGACAGTTTTTCCCCTTGGGACAGGTTCACTGCACAGTCCTCCTGCCTCAGTTTCCCTAAGGGCTTTAATTACAAGTATGCACTGTCATGCCTAGCTACAACTTAAATTCATTTATTTTTGAGACAGAGTCTCAAAATGTATCTCTGGCTAGCCTGGAACTCAGTAATGCAAACCAAGTAATCCTTGACCTCATTGAAATCCCCCTGCACTGCCTCGTGAGTGCTGGGATTAAAGGTATGCTCCACCAGCCAACTTTTGTTTTTAATAGGAAGAAAGAACATCTCTATTACCTGTGTGAGGTGATATCTTGCTTGTACAAATAAAGCTTGTCTGAAGATGAGAACTAGCTAACCATAGAGGTCGGGAGGTCTGTACAGACAGGCAGGAAGTGACATGCCTGGGCGGAGAGAGGATATAAGCAGGAAGAAACAGGAACTTGCTCTCTTCTGCTGGGAAGCTAATGAGGTAAAGGTGGCTTTGGCTTGCTCCTTCTCTCTGATCTCTCAGTATTTTCCTCTATATCTGACTCCGGGTTTTTATTACTTAGGCCAATTAATAACTCCATTTCCACCTGTGCATTTATATTCCTTTCTGAGTACAGACTCTCGCTGATGTGAGAGTTGTAGGTTAATGATCTGGTGTGCCTCTTCCTGTGGCACCTCCTGTGACTTGGAGGGGCTGGCCTTCAGTTCTTCCCTGTCCCATGAAATCTGACTAAATTCTCCATGTGTTCTTGGTGTGCTAAAGTTGGAGAGTTAACGAGTGTGCGTGTGGATACCTGCTAGCAGGAAGACTGTGCGTGTGGATACCTGCTAGCAGGAAGACTGTGCGTGTGGATACCTGCTAGCAGGAAGATGGTTGGCTCACCCTGGCACCCACTTTCCCTCACACATCCTGTTTCCCAGATGTTGAACAGGACAGATACCTTTTCTGGGTTCAGATGACGTCACATGCCATTTCTCTCGATTACTGTGCTTCAAGGACAATAGAGCAGCCCCTTTTGGTGTCTGTCATTCTAGGTGTGAAGGATCTTCACGCAGACCATGCTGCCAGCCACATTGGAAAGGCACAAGGCATTGTCACATGCTTGAGAGCCACACCCTATCATAGTAGCAGGAGAAAAGTGTTTCTGCCCATGGATGTCTGTGTGCAGGTGAGGCTGTAGCCTGCTAATGATTCTCTGGGACAGCAGGACGGAGTTGCTCTTTAGTTTATTCCCTTGCTGTTTGAAACATGTGCGAACATCACTTCCTGTTTTTACCCTGCTTACTGTGATAGTCAAGCATGAGGTTTCTGGAGGTGCTATGATAAGTCCTAGACAGCCTGCACCTCCTTGCCAGTGACTAACTCCCTTCGAGTAGTTACAGTAACCTCACCTGGGTCTGTTTGCTATTCCCTTTTATTGATGGGAATAATTTTTGTTTTGGGACAAGTTCTCTGGTAGCTCGGGCTGAACTTGAACTTTTGAACCTTTAAGTAGCTGAGGATGGCATTGAATTTCTGACCCTCCTGTCTCTACATCTCCAGTACTGAGATTACAGGTGTTGGCCACCTCACCCCACTGAAACATGTGTTTTCAAATGTTTCTGCGAGGCTGGAGAGATGGCTCAGTGGTTAAAAATGTTTACCAGAACTTTTGAGTTTTGATTGAGGTTCTTTATTGTCTGCCCTTTTAAACTTAAAAAAACATTTTTTATTTGTCTGCATGTATATACGAATGTGTATATCCACAGGGAATGCCTGTGATGGCCAGAGAGTCTCAGATCCTCTGGAGCAGGAAGTTCTGAGCCAACAGATACGGGAACTGAGACTGGAGGCTGGGCCCTCGGCAAGAGCAAGTGCTCTTAACCATCTCTCGGCCCTTCTTTTAACCTTTTTGTATTTTGTTATGCTTTCTCCCTCTCTCCATGCATCACACACGCTGTAGTAGTTGGGGTTTGCTAGAGAAACAGAACTAGTAGAATGAATATGTACCCTGAGTTTATGACAGTGGCTGCCTGCCCACTGGAGAAGCTGAGAACCTGATCAATCCCCATGGCTGGGTGCCTCAGCAATCCCAGCCTGACATTGAAGATCTGGGGGATTTCTGGACAGCTGTAGGTCTTTAGTGCACATCTGAAGGTCAGAGAAGCTGGACTCCAATGTCACTGAAGGGCAGCAGTGGCAGCAGCATGGCAGATGTACTCACCAGCAAGGAGCAAAGGTAGCAGGCAAAAACAGCATTGCTTTTCATTCAGACATCCTTATATCTGCCCATCTGGGAGAACGTCTTCCCCCTTAGTTAATCCTTCCAGGGAATACTGTCACAGACCCACCTGCATGCATGTCTCTTAGTTGATTATACAGCCAATCAAGCTGGTAAGGAAGATTGACCATTACAAACTTATACACACACAGTTTAAGAATTAGCAGTTATCCTATATGTATGCTGTCTGTCTCTGCCTATTTTCTTAAGCAATATTGATTTTAAGTGTGCTTATAGATTTCTAAAATTATGTTTTCTTCATAGCATGGTGTTTCACAAGAGGCCTTTCTACGGAGGAACCGGGATAAAAATGTGAGAGATGTGATATATGACATTGCCAGCCAGGCACACTTGCACCTAAAGCATGTAAGTAGCTCCTTTGCCCAGCTATCTGGGGTGTTGTCATCACTAGACAGGACTGTTTCCATGGCATGCTATGTGTCTATGTATGGTGGTTTGAGTAGGCTTTATACCAGGCTTTCTATTGGGCACCAGCCAGCTCCCAGATCATGACACGGTAATTACTAGTTAGGAATGCTCAGCCTTAGCTTAGGCTAATTTCTCGCTTGCTCTTTTTTCTTTTTTTTTTTTCTTTTTTAGTTATTTTTTTATATTTTATTTATTTATTATACAGTCTTCTGCCTGCATGCCAGCAGAAGGCACCAGATCTCATTCAAGGTGGTTGTGAGCCACCATGTGGCTGCCGGGAATTGAACTCAGGACCTCTGGAAGAACAGTCAGTGCTCTTAACCGCTGAGCCATCTCTCAAGCCTCTCGCTTGCTCTTACAACTGTGTTTTCTCTTCATCTATGTTTTTGCCTCAGGGCTCTTTACCCCCTCCCTCCCCCCCCCCACCCTCTGTCTCTCTGCCTGGCTTCTGACCTGGGTGTATCCCTCTCTTTCTCCTTCATTCTCTTCTCCTACTCATTCTCTCTGCCTGCCAGCCCCACCTGTCTCTCCTGCCTAGCTATTCAGCTTTTTTTTTTTTTTTTTTTTTTTTTGGTTTTTCGAGACAGTGTTTCTCTGTATTGTCTTGGAAGCTGTCCTGGAACTCGCTTTGTAGGCCAGGCTGGCCTGGAACTCACAGAGATCCACCTGCCTCTGCCTCCCAAGTGCTGGGATTAAAGGCGTGCGCTGCCAATGTCTGGCGCTATTCAGCTTTTTATTAAGCCAATAAATACCTTATTAATCAGACCCCTTAGGTGGGCAAGGTGAAACAGATGCAACTCATTTACTCAGTTAATGTTCTGAAGCATAAACAAATGTGACACACTTTTACACAGTTAAATATTATACAGCAAGGGCTGCAGAGATGGCTCAGAGGTTAAGAGCGCTGCCTGCTCTTCCAGAGGTCCTGAGTTCAATTCCTAGCAACCACATGGTGGCTCACAACCATCTGTAATGCGTCCTGGTGCCCTTTTCTGGCCTGGGCAGAACAGTATACAGGCACTATTAGGAGGTGTGCCTTGTTGGAGGAAGTATGTCAGTGTGGAGACAGGCTTTGAGTTCTTACAAGCTGAGGTCTGGCCAGTGGGACACAGACTCCTGCTGCCTGCAGGTCAACACCTAGGACTCTCAGCTCCTTCTCCAGCACCAGTCTGCCTGCATGCCACCATGTCCTCCTTTCCTGTATAAGAGTTGCTGTGGCCATGGTGTCTCTTCACAGCAATAAAACCCTAACTAAGAGACTGTGGATTTATATATACATGATAGCATTTCTGTGGCATGCTATTGATTCTGACCTTGGCAGTCTCTGTCCCACTGCTGATTGGATTCCTAGGGTTTATCCCAGGGGCTGTTGGAAACATTTCCTATTCACTGCCCTCAGCTGGTGAACACACCCTTTGTGAGTGAGAAATGGCTCACTGGTTGAGAGCAGATTTTTTTTTTTACTACAGGACCTGAGTTCAATTCCCGGCACCCACACTAGATGGCTTAGAATCACCTGTAACTCCAGCTTGGGGGCAGGGGAGATCTGATGCCTCTAGCCTCCATGGGCACCTGCTCTCATGAGCACATAGACACACAAATATACACATAGTTTTTAGGGGGAAAAAAGGTTGGCAGGTGAATTAGTGAATTGTCACATCTGGCCCACATAGCTTGGTGGTCCTCACTGGAGCTTCTGAGGAATGAAGAAATGACAGACTCTGAAGGAACAGCAGGGACACATACAGAAAAGCTAGGACCAGCTGGTCTGTGCTCACTCTGAGGGCAATTACTACTCACCTGGAAACCAGTGTTTAGCATAGGAGCACCAGGAGGAAGGCTTAGCTGGTATCAGTGGAAGGTTCTATAGGACAGTGGTCTGAGGCCATAAACTTCCACATGTTATGTCAACATTCACACAGACCAGTAGAAGGCTTTGCCATTGCCATGGGTCTGAGGTGGTGGTGGTGGCGGTGCTTGACACGGCTGTGCTTTCCACAGTTTGATTTACTTAGGAGAAGGAGAAGGTGTTTCTAGAGAGATGCATGTGTGTGTGTATATGCCCACGCCCACAATGAAACTTGTAACTGACTGACAGGATGGTGAGGAGAGCGAGTCAGAGGCTACATAGTGAGTTCACCCGTGGGCCACACCAGCGCCAGTCAGAGGTGTGCTAGTCTTCATCCTGGCTGTAGTCGGATTTGAGGGCAGTGGCATTTAGGAAGATGGGCTGCTGGAGAATGCAGGGTTGTGTCTTGGGAAGGTCAGAATTGGAGTCACCACGTGAGAGGTTACTGTCAAAGCTTGAGTCTGGATGCTATTGCTCCAGGAGAGTGTGTCTCTATGACAGACAGAGCCTTGCAGACACATCCATTCATCGGGAGAAGGAAGCAGGGCCATTAGGAAGACGACTAAGGGCGGACAGGGGAGCTGGGGGTCTGCATCTGAGAGCATACAAGAAAGGAGGATCACATGCCCCTGCCACAGAGAGAACGGTAACCATGGTCCAGAAAACCGTGGGTGATCCCGGAGCCTAAAGCCGTAGTGTGCAGTCAGGAGGCAGAGGCAGGGTGTAAGAGGCCATACGGACGAAGACCTAGAAACAAGGCAAGGTCTGGCCAGTGCAGGTTGATGGCATCGGCCTGAGTGGAACAGGTGTCCACAGCCCAGAAAGGTCAGCTTGACTTGAGACTAGGGGTTAACTACAGAGGTGTTTGAGTTCAGGAAGAATAGCCGATACCTGATCAAGGTGAAGTAATGATGTAACAACATGAACTCATCAGAGGTGGGAGACCACCTGACATGGCATCTGCACTAGATCTAAACGGGGCCAAGCCAGGAGGTGCTAGCACAGGGCTGAGGGTCAAGTGAGTGTGAGCTGTCAGGGACCGGAAATCTCCAGCACCCCTGAAAGGAAGAGGCTTTTGTACACCGAGCTGGTTTTGCTACGTCTGTGTGCTTTGCTGGCAGCAGGGTGAGCTGTGTTCGTGCTTTTGTGGTATCTGAACTGTGCAGCTGCTGTGTGCTCACCCTCAGAGGGAGACTTCAGACGCATTCCAACCAGTTTTTCCTCTTCCTTTAAGGCGAGGTCCTTCCACAGAAGCGTTCCTGCGAGAGCACTTCCTGCTTTTCTTCAGACGGTGAGTGCTTCAGCCGAGAAGCCTGGGTACCATGACTACGACCAGTTCTTAGGTTTCGTCCAGTCCCCACTGAACTTCTTTTGGCTGGTTTACTGCCTCCTGTGGCTTGATAAGACTGCGATGTCACATCTGTACTGCTGGGTTGTCACTGACATAGGCTCTGCAGCCAGGATACATTGTGTTTACTCTGCCCTCTTTTTAACCGTGGGACCTTAATTTCTATAACCCCTCGATTTACTCATCAGTGAAAGGGAATGATAGAAGACACCACCTAATGGGTGTGTCTCCATGGTGACCTGAAACACAGTAGTGCCAGCCACGGGTTGTTGCTGAGCTGGCTACATCAGAGTAACCTGGAAGGAAGGTAGTTTCCCGGCGGGGGTGGGGTGGGGGGTAGAGTGGGGTGGAATGGGGTGGGGGGGTGTAGTTTCCTGAGCTCAGATTCCCCGGTGCAGGCTGGTGACATGACTCAGGTGTACAGGTGCTTCTTTCCTTTTCTTCTTTTATTTTTTCTCTTTTGGTTATTCAGATAGGGGGTCTCTCTCTGTAGCTTTGGTTGTCCTGGAACTCTGTAGACCAGGCTGTCTGAGATCCGCCTGCCTCTGCCTCCTGAGTGCTGGAATTAAAGGCGTGCGCCACCATCCCTGGGCTAGAGGTGCTTCTTATACAGGCTATCAACCTGAGTTCGACCCCAGAAGGCACACAGAGGTAGAAGAGACTGCTCCTCACCGTTCTCAGGTGTGGGGCCAGGGAGGGGTTTGTGGGGTAAGTTTAAGGACCTGATCTGGGACCCATGGTGGAAGAAGAGAACGAACCTTCTGACTTACACATACATCATACACAATAAAAAATAAAGTCTAGAGTAAAGACTGGCAGCCTTATTAGTCCTTGTTTGACACCCACCCGGGTTGGTGCTGCAGAACTCCAGGGGGCGCTGTGGGTACTGTCTGAGGAGGGCTGGGGCCTCTTAGAATCATGGAGTGCAAATTAATCATCTTTTGGTGTTTAATGGAGGGGCTGTGAGGGTGGGCATGTGGCTCAGTTGGTAGAGCGGCCCATTGCCTGACTGGCTAAATCAGCACTTCATGGACTGGGTGTGGTCCTGCACACTTGTAAGTAAGCCAGGGCCATCCTTGGTACCCAGTTCAAGGCCTGCCTGGGCTACATGAGACTTTGTTTTAGAAAAAAAGCATCAGACAACCAAAATTAAAGAATACTGTGTATTTACCATCTTTCTCTATCCTGTGAACACTGCCAAGTTTTATGTGACTGGTGAAGAGCAGGCTGACTTTTACAGGAACCTGTGGTTATTCTCTTTGCCTGAAAATCTTGTTATCTAGCAAGAACAAAGAGACTCATTAAACTTTTAAAAAAAATAGTTTTTTAAGGCTGGGTATTGGTGGCTCCTCCAGTGCCTAGACCCTGAGCAAAACATACATACCAAAGAGGCCCAATGTTGTAGTACTGGTTTTACTGTGTTATCCCCTCTTACTAGTTAAAGTTTCTGGGGAAATAGATGTCTTCCTTTATTTTCTCTCTCTCTTTGAAAATTCTCCTTGGGGCTAGAGTGATGGTTCAGTGGTTAAGAGCACACACTGCTCTTCTAGAAGACTTGGGTTCAGGTCCAACACCCAAGTCCAGCAGCTCAGAACTGCCTGTGACTCCTTTGGTCAGATATGGTGGTACATAGCTGTCATGGTTTGATTAAAAATGGCCTCCATAGCCCTGTAGGGAGTGGCAGTATTAGGAGGTGTGGCCTTGTTGGAGTAGGTGTGGGATTTTTGGAGATGTGTCACTAAGGGGTGGGCTTAAGGTCTCAGAAGCTCCATTCAGGCCAGTGTGTCATGGTCACTTCTTGCTGCCTGTAGATCAAGATGTAGAACTCTCAACTGCCTCTCCAGCACCATGTCCGCCTGCATGCTGCCATGCTTCCCATCATGATGATAATGGACTGACCCTCTGAACTATAAGCCAGTCCCAATTAAATGTCTTCCTTTATAAGAGTTGCTGTGGTCATTGTGTCTCTTCACTGCAATAAAACCCTAACTAAGACAATAGCTTTAATTCCAGAACTCACGGGGCAGAGGCAGGAGATCTATGAGTTCAAGGCTGGTCTGGTCTATATAATGAGTTCTAGGCTGACTAAGACTACATAAAGAGACACTATCTTGGGGGAAAGGAAATTTTTCTCATTATGTAATATCAGCTCAGGAAACTAAAGTAGGTTTAGTATGTGTACTTTCCCTTTTTCTTTGAAACGAAGTCTTACTTTGGAGCCCAGGCTGGTGTTGAAGTCTTACTTTGGAGCCCGGGCTGGTGTTGTTCCCACCCCACTCTCCTCAGTGCCCTCTGATCATAGGAGGGAGCTGTCACATCCGATTCTTTTTGGGTTTTTTTGTTTTGTTTTGTTTTGAGATAGGGTCTAACTTTTTAGCCCAGGGTGGCCTTGATTTTATCAAGTAGCACAGGCTGACCTCACAGAGCAATTCACATGGTTCAGTTTTCTGAGTATTAGGATTGCAGGTGTGACCTCCATGTGACTATACTTTTTCTCTAGTTTGTTTGGGAAACTTGATCACTTTATGATCTAGTGACCACTGCTCTCTTTTTCCAGGTTACTCTAGAGGACTATTTGAAGAAAATCCAGCGAGTGGATTTTGACATATTCCATCCGTCTTTACAGCAGAAGAATACACTACTTCCGTTATCTTTGTATATTCAATCATGGAGAAAAAGATACTAAATAATTTCATGTACTGACATTGGATAATTTTTAGTGTATTGCTTTAAAAATGTGTTTTGAGTTCTTGTTTAGAAACCATAAACACTAACTGTGTGTGTGTGTGTGTGTGTGTCTCCTGTCTTTGTCAATTTATGTGTAGGTACCCACAGAGGCCAGAGGGTGTCAGATCCCTGGGAGCTGGATTTACCTGATGTGGATATGGGGACATCTGTAAGCTCCTAAAATCTGAGCCAGCTCCCCAGCCTCCAGAGCCAACTTTTTACTTAAGGATTAAAGGAATTGTTGTTCGGATTCAAGTAGCTCATAGAGCAGCTGCAGAGTTTCAGTGAGGCTGGGTGCTGGGACCCTGCTAAGATCCTACCATCCTACCCTCCCCATATGGGGCTGCTGTGCCATCACTGGGAAGTTGGGATCCCAGGAGGAGCCAGGTGAGAGGGAAAGTCAGCCCTTCCCTCTGTCTCACCCTGGGACCCAAAGGGGAAAGTGTTTAGATTCACACTGTATAACATGCTGTTAGCCAAGGCTCAGATGTTCCCTATAGCTGCAAAATGCATTCATTTAGGCAGTGGTTCTCAACCTGTGGGTCATGACCCCTTTGGCAAATCTGTCTCCAAAAGTATTTACATAACGATTCATAACAGTTGCAAAATTATAGTTATGAAATAACAACAAGAACAATTTTATGGTTGGGGTCTCCACATGATACACTGTTTTAAAGAGTCGAAGCATTAGGAAGGTTGATTTAGGGCATGAAAAATGTACTAAAAGTCTGAGTAGTAGCCTTGTGTTGAGGCTATGTAACCCTAACGCTAGGCTTTCTAACTAAACCTGAGTTTAAGATTAAGCATCCAACTGGGTGTTGGTGGCATATATCTTTAATCCCAGCACTCGGGAAGCAGAGGCAGGCAGATGTCTGTGACTTCGAGGCCAGCCTGGTCTACAAAGCAAGTTCCAGGACAGGCTCCTGGAAGTTAGAGAAACTCCCGAAAAACAAAACAAAAGAGTAAGCAGCGATCCACAGCCTGCCACCCAGGTGGGTGCTGTCATAGGCCCGCAGGTGCCTTGTGCACTGGGCAGAAATGGTGGAGAAATGGGAGAGAGGTGGACCAGTTCAGGTGCTGTGGAGAGGCAGGACAGAAGTGAAGGCTGTGAGGTGTGGGCTGAGGTAGGTGGCCTGCTTGCCACCAGGTCCTGGCTGCTGCCAACGGCCATGTCTGAACCTGTAGACCTACCACAGCCAGGTCTATGTTAACATCTGTGGCCCATGTTGCCACCAGAGACCACACAAAAGCCTGGGGTCTGGGCCACAACCTGTGGCCTTGTTGGTATCTGAGGGCTATGTCACCTCTGGACTGGGTGGTCTATGCTGCTACTTGGGGCCCTGGTGTCTTACAGGCCCGAGTTACTGATGAGGACCATGTCTGAGTCCGTGACCCTACTTAGCAGCCAGGGTCTGAGACAATGTCTGTGGTTTTCTGTTGCAACTGAAGGCTGTGTGCTTTTCTGGGTCTGACTAGCCATCTGGGACCGTGTTGGTGCCCCGAGGGCCATACTGCAGCTGGTGCTGTACAGATCTGAGTGACACTACTTACTACCCAGTGCCATGGTGACATCCAGGCCCGGGCTGCAGTCAAGGGCCATGGTCTTATTGTAGCCGGGGTCTATGTTGAAGTTAGTGACCCATGATGTCCCCACTTGGAAACTTGGGTTCTAGGATGCAACCTGTGGCTTTGTTGGAGTCTGGGGGCCATGCTGCAGCTGGCCATACAGATCTGGGTGACCTGTGCTGCCATTCAGGGCCATGGTATTGTCCAGGCCTCGACTGCTGCACAAGGCTGTCTGGGTCCAAGGCCCTATAGCAGCAGGGTCTCTGTTGTTGTCCATCAAGAGTGCCCAAGATCAGGTCAACCACTTAAGTCCATGTTGGTGTCCGAGAGCCATGCTGCAGCTGGGGCCATATCTTTCAGAGTGGCCTGCGCTGCTACCCAATGCCATGGTGATGTCTGGGCCAGAGCTGCAGCTGACGGGTCCATGGTCCTGCTGCAGCTGGGATCTGTGTCACCTCAGGGGACTGCTGGCCCTGTCTCTTGCTGGACTCTGCAGCAATAGAGCTGGTTCCAAGCCTCATGGGAGAGCTGCCCCACCACAGCCAAGGGAGAACCGACCCTGATGGCATGTGTGGAGGGGAGCTGGCTTCCCCCCCCTTCGCCTGAGGTGGGTGGCCCCAGTGGCCCGGACTGACCAGCTCTGCTACCCAGGCCCACAGCTGGGCCTGACTTCGGCCCACCCTAACATCTGCCCCATCTAGGATCTGCTGGAGCTCGAGGTTGAAGGGACTGGTCTCCGTGACTCAGGGCAGCTGGGGTTATCCCAGAGGAGTTCCGGTGAGGATCCAGTGGTGATGGTGTACCAGGAGACCAATGGATCTTTGCAATGAATATTTGTTAGTAAAGCTGATTTAATTTGTCACATTTGCTGTGTGACACACTGCTCCAGTGTCACCAGGACAAATGGAGAGGTGTTGGAGAGGCAGGAAAGCTGGAAAATTGAAGAGGGTTTTTTTGTTTTGTTTTTGTTTGCTTGCTTTGTTTTGACTTAAAAAATTTCTTTTTGTAGGCACTTCAGGGTGAGGGGAGGATATGGGAGGACTGGGAGGTGATTGGAATTAGGGTACATGATGTGAAATTCACAACAAAAAATCAAAAGAAATTATGTTAAAGGAAAGAGAGCAGCCGCTCATCACAGTTGGAACCTTACTAGCTTCAGCTCTGGTTGCTCTGGAAGCTTTGCCTTTCTTGTTAAGCCCAGCTAACTGAAGCCACAGCATCAGTGATTCAGCAGAGCCATGATCATGAATGAAATCGTGCTGGCAGAAGCCTGTGTTAGTATAAATTATACTAGCAGTATTGCGTTGAACAGCCATCAAGGGGCAATGCACTTTGTTTGCTGTTTGCTTGTTTTAGACTTGGCTGGCCTGAACTTGCTAGGTAGACCAGCTGGTCTTGAACTTCTAGAGATGTGCCTACCTCTGCCTCCGAAGTGCTGGGATTAAAGATGTATACCACAAAACCCAGCATGGTATGTGCATTTTTTAAAAGTATTATTCACTAGGCTTCCACGTGATAAGCATGGATATATATGATGTATGTTTATATGCATCTGTGTAATTCTCATTTGATCTTAAAAGCTGAAATGAGTCTTTTGGTAATTATTAATTGCTTGTTTATTTTTGCTGTTGTTTTGAGACAGGGTTTCACTTTGTTGCTCGGGAACTCTATAATATAGACCAAGCTGGCCTAGAACTTAACTTGCCTCTACCTCCAGAGTTCTAGGTTAGAGCAGCTGAAGTTTAAGTTATAAAATACTTACTGGTCACAGAGATTAAAAGTATTTACATGGCTGCTAGCTAGCAGATTTGGAATATGAGTGAGACAGAATCCTGTGACCAGGATTGTGGCAGGTCCTTTTTCCTGCCTTTTCAGGGCTCTTATTGCCCCCCAACTTGGCAGGTGAGTCAAGTCTTTGTTTTTTTCTCTGAATTGCTGTCTGCTTCAATTGTGAGTTAGCAGTGGCTTAAAACAACACTTTTTTTTTTTTCCAAATAAAATCCAAACAGAAGTTGGCAAGGGCAAGACTACATTGTTTGCCTCATCTTGGCTTCCCCAGTGCCTAGAACACCTCCTGACTGACAGCGGTCGGAGGAGAGATTGTACGCTGGGCTGGAATGAGTGTCCAGCGTGCTTGTGTCAGAGGCATCGGGTTGATACTGGAAGAATAGCTGCCCCTCAGAGGCGGGCACAGAGCCAGGACACAGCCCTTTGATTCTGAAGGAGGCTGGGGTGAGGAGTACCTGAGTCTTTGTTACCACTGTGGCCAGTCTTCCAAGTGAAGTTTGGCAGCAGCCCACTGCTAAACATCTTGGTTCCTGCCTAAGGCTCTTAAAAGGAGAAGCTGAGACACTCAGCTCTGAGACACTCAGCTGGAGTGTTGCCAGGCCCTCGGTGGCTCAGCAAACCCTTGAACACGTTCTGAGGTGCTCTTTTTCTTTTTAAAATTTATTTATTTTTACCTCCCAACCAAGTCTCCTCTCCCTCTTCTCCACCTACTCCCTCCCCCTCCCTTCCCCTGCCCCCCTCACTCACCCTTTCTGTGAATATGCTGAGACATTCTTAATTTCATGTTTACAGATTTGATGAACTGGAGTTCCCTCAGGGTTAAAATGTGGGCATCATTTACAGTATTGTTAAATTCCTGGCATAAAGAACTTTCTTAATCCTACAGAAGGGAGGGAGGGAGAAGATGGAAACAGGAGGACCAGAGTCACCCTCAAGTGAGTTTGAGATCAGTCTGGCCTAGATGAGATTCTGTCTCAAAAATCCAAAACCAAAAGTAAGTAAAGGTGAGCCAACTTTTATAGGAAAGCTTATGAATAGAAATGTCCACATCTTCTGTCCCAGTGAAATAGTTTGAACTGAGGTCAGAGAATTGGGAGTTTGTTTTGCCCATTTCAGCAAATCTCCAGGTGTCCTTGGTTTTGAACTGTTTTAGTTAGTACAAATTTCATTTCTCTAAAGACACTAGCCCAGTTGATGACTTGACGATTCAGAGCTGTAGACACTGCAGTTATTAAAACAACAACAGTACTTGCCTGGCAGGAGCTACCATGATCACGAAAGTGGTTCTCCCAGGATGAGGCTTATCTATTGCACTCCGGGTGTGCTGACCCTGGGATTTGCCCAAATGTGGGAAACTCAACTGCATAATCTGTGGTAGTGGGCACTGGTTTCACACGCTCCCCTGCTTAAAACAATAAATAGTAAAAAATGAAACAAGGCATTAGCCTACTGTTGTTTCCATAACAAGACTTAGCAAGAGCTGCACATTGAACTGGGATGGGAAATTGGAATGGGTCAGAAGAAGGGCAGACTGCCCATTTTTACCTGCTTTTTCTTCTGGTGAAAATGACTGTGTAATGAAAGCTATTTCTTAAAAAGTTAGGATCCTGGGGCTGGAGAGATGGCTGCTCTCTCAGGGGACCTGTAATCAATTCCTAGCCCCTCATGGCTTGCAGCCACCCAGGACTAGCCACTGGAGTACTGGTGGCCTCTTCTGACCTGAGGGCACCAGACACTGTGGTGTGCATGCATACATGCAGGCAAAGCAGTCATACACACAAAATGGAGACAATAAGTTCTTTAAAGGGTCCCTTTAAGTAGTAAAGATGGTGGTAGGTATTATTGCAGGATAATAGACAGGGAAACATGAACTTTCATGTGTACATTAAAATAATTACTACTTAAAATAATTTATTCAGGGGCTAGAGAGATGACTTGGCAGTTGAGAGCACTAAGTTCAATTCCCAATAATCACACCATCTATAACAGCATCTGATGCCCTATTCTGTCATGAAGGCATCCATGAAAATAGAGCACTCATGCATAAATAAATAAATCTTTAAATAAATATTGTATTCAGTGCCAGCAAGATGCTCCTCTGGTAAATGTGCTTGCAGTTCAAGTCTAACCACTGGGCTCAATCTCAGGGGCCATGATAGAAGGAGAGATGACTCCTCTAAGTTGTCCTCTCACCTCCACACACATGCCATCCCACACAGGCACACACATATGTATGCATATGTACCATATACAGTCAACAGCAAACATCTTGGTGGCAGTGGCCTGTTGGGAAATGGTTACTGTGCTGAGACTGGTGAAGGACGACCTGGAAGTGTGTCCACAAGTGACTGTTGAGGGGAGCATACAGTATTTGAGAAACTGGATTGTGGGAGAAAGCTAGACACAAGGGGGGGAAGAAGGAGACATTGAGCTCACACAGTGAGGTTGTTATGCCTGCTGTGCTAAGACTCTGAACCCCCCAAAACCACCAGGAGACCAGATCCAATGCCAAAGCTAAGAATCCTCTTAATTTACAAGACAGTGGGTGGAGTAGGAGAGACCCCCAGCAGCAGTGGATCAGGGCATATATTGGGGTAGAGCAAGGGGGAGTGCCTGAGGGTCCGCTAGTTGCATAGCAACAGTCTCAGGATTGGTGCACCTCTGGGCATGGGCAACCTGTCTTGAGTTGAGATCAGCTGCAGCCTCAGAAAGGTTGCTGTGCCTACAGGTCTTCCCAGGGTGGTTGCTACGCTCTGAATTGCTCTGCATCTCACCATTATCAGTAAAGCACATTCAGCACCTGCCAGCTAACTTCTGATTGGTTCCTTGCCACATGAAGGGTATCTGGCTTCCTAGTGATTAGGGCAAGGTCGGACCAGGTCAGGGGCTCAGTACATATTTCTAAGTCAGGGGTCTATGTCTTACTGGGGCTTTTCTGCAGCCTGTTATGGCTGCCAAAGCAGGGGACTGGGTGAGGGTCTGGGCCCTTCAAGGTGTTTGGCTTTAGCACTGGTATTTGATTAGTATGTAGTTAGAAATGGTCCTGAACGTGTGTTTTGTATGTGTACTCATGACTATTGTTTACAATGCTGCTGGTGTTAACAGTTCCTTGGAAAAGCAATGCCTTAGGCTCACCTTGAATTTCCTTGTTATTTGATAACCTGTGGGCTGACTTTTTCTTCTGCACCTTTTTCTCATGAAACAACCCTACCTGGCTTTGTTATACTTTCTATTTTATTTTTAATCCTGAACAATGTCTGAACATCATGAATTTCTCAAGGCACAAATTCACTAGCTTTCTAAGCCTTGAAGTCCCTTTTGTGGGTAGGGCAGGGTTCTTTAGGAACTCCACATTAATGATTCAGGAAGCTGTTTCAGTAGATTCTACATTTGTTCTTATTGCAGTTGTCCATGTGATGCTAATTTCCAAATGTGTGGCATTCTCCTTACTTAGGAGAATGCCCCTGCCCTCCCTCCCTCCCTATTGAACTGTATGTGGTTGGAAATAGATGTATCTGAATACAACTTTCCTACATATTCTGAAACAGTGAATACATGTTTTTACACAACCAATTTGTACTTATTACAGAAATATTGGGGCCAAATAAACACAGAAGCAGAGAATTATTTTTAAGTCACACATCTCATTAGGTAAGAAATAGCCACCATTAAATGTTGGTGGCCGTGTCAGAGGAACAGAGGGTGGCGATTGAGGCCAGGTGTCAGCTCACCAGGGGAAACTCTCTGATGGAGGAATCTTGTTTAGGCAAGGCCATAGGACTACAGACTCTGGAATGTCTTTTGCCTCTGCTGTGCAAAAGACACGTTTGCTACTGCTCTCTTTCTCTGGTATCGAGCTTGGTGTGAGTGGACATGGGGAGAGCTCCACTGCCTGTAATATAGTATGCTTATCTCTTGGAAACATCCCGTTCTACTGGATATTTTTACCAGTGGATTGTCAAGATGCCCCTCCCTACACTGTATTATCTAATTTGATAATAATGATAACCCATACAGAGTTTTGATGAATAAAAACAAATACAAGGGTAGGTTTTATAACCAGGGACTGTGAGTTTCACCTAAGGAGTTGCATAGATTGTAGCTCAAGTTAATGATTAAGAAAAAACAATTGAGTCCCAGTAGTCCAGCTAGTTTAAATTCTTTTAACCTTAATGTTGGGAGATAGATTCACAGGTTTTGGAGTGCACCATAGCTGAAAAAAAGCTTTGAAAGTTAGACTAAGAAGTTTTTGTTAAATAGCTTTGAAGTGAAAAAACTCAAGAAGACAATCTAAAGTTTTAGAAAGGCACATAGTTGAGTGAGGAGCAACTCATTAAGTTGAACAAGAACGAAGCAGCTCAATTACCATTGGCTGGCATACCTTTCTTGCTAGGATTGGTTGATGACTAAAGGTGATGATTAATTCCTCATACCCTTGTCTACCCTCAATCTCCTGGTATAAAAAACCATCGACGAGTGGGTATGTACCCTAAAGGTTTAAAGTAGAGCTAACTGTTTCTTTGTCATATATAGAAGTTTAGGTTTGTGATTCCTTCAAGATTCTTTATAAGATTACCTTTCAAGATAAGTTATAAAGTAATTGGCCCTTTCTTTGTAACTACAGAGTGCTCCCCTGGCCTTGCCTCTCCAGTCCTGGTCACCAGGAGGTCAAATACCCTCTTGGCAAGGAACCAATCAGAAGTTAGCTGGTGGGGTTGTGCTTTAGGGCTCTGGGTGTGCTTTATGGACAAGTGCACAACAGTGATGTGCAGAGCATAGCAACCACCCTGGGAGGGCCTATGGACCATAACAACCAGTTGACCAATCAGCACAGGGCAGGTCATCCAAGCCTGGAAGCGCACCAATCCTGAGACTGTTTCACACCCCTTTTGCTGCCCTACAAGATCCCTGTCTCATGGTTTCTCGGGGTCTTTTCTCCAACCATCCACCAAGGTGGATGGATGAAAGGCCCGAGCTATTGGGTTTAGCTCATTAAACAACAGCAATAAAAGACTCTTTGCTTTTGCATGGAAATGGGCCTCTTGGTGATTTGGGGTTCAGAATTTGGGCACAACACCTGCTAGTAAAAGACCTGACAAGTGCACAGTGCTTGACCACACAGCCAATATATGACAAGTTGCTTGGGGTATGAATGTGTGTGGGTTTCTGGGATAAATTTGTTTTTTACCTGTAGTATGCAAAGTATTTAATCATGTAAGGAATATGGGAAATGTGCTGTTTTTTTTTTTACTGTTTGTTTTGTATTAGTTGTAGTCATTCAATTGGAAAACAGAATGTAACCACATTGTGATTCCTATATTACCTGACAAAGTTCGTTGGAGTGTATAAACTGCAGAAAAAACGTATACAGTAGAAAGGACAGAGAAAGAACACGAGAATAAAGAAGGAAGTCATCGAGAGAATGTGTGAATGTTCCTTTTCCTAAACCCCCCTCAGACAGGAAAGTCTAGCTTACACTGACTCTGGATTTCTGTCAAGGTCCAGTGTTGCTGGAGGCTGGCCCTCAGACAGCAGTGATTAAATCTACTCAGTCCCTTCTGCTGGAGTCCAGCTCTGGAGGGGTTCAGGTCCCAAAGTGGAGGTGTGGAGTCCTCCAGGGGAAGGAGACTGACAGGATCTGAGGGTGAACAAAGGCTCCACCTTTTATACTCTGTAATTGCACAAAGGGTTAAATGGAAGAAAGGGACATCTGTCCTGAGCTGTGGCATGTGATCAGATACTGTAGAAGCTAGCATTGACCATGTCAGGTTAATAGACACCAGTCATATGTTAATGAAAGGGCCACAAGTTTCTCTTGCCAGAGGTAAGGATGTCTCCCATTTTAGCAAGGAGGAACGTTCTTCAAGCCCCTGAGAGAATAGGGGTTTTTGTCTAAATTTACCTGACCTTGGGAAAAGGACATTCTTGGGGGATTAGATGGTCCATTATAGAATATTGCAATTTTTTATATGGTTAAGTTTATCCTGAAGGGACTAGCCCCTCACCCAGACCCCTGCTTTGGCAGCCATGACAGGCTACAAAAAAAAAAAAAAAAACCCAGCAAGATGTAAGCTCAACCTCCCAGTCACTAGGAGGTCAGATACCCTCATGGCAAGGAACCAATCAGAAGTTAGCTGGCAGCCTCTGGACATGCTTTACGGTAAAAGTGGCATAACAGTGGAGTGCAGAGCATAGCAACGGCCCTGGAAAGGCCTAAAGGCCATAGCAACCAGCTGGCCAATCAACACAGGACAGGTCTCCCAAGCCCAGAAGTGCACCAATCCTGAGACTGTTGCAGACCCCAGACACTCCCCTTGTTCTACCCAGTAAACTCCCCACCTCTCAGACCCTTTGGGTCCTTCTCACACCAACCACTGTGTTGGATGGATGAGGGAACCGAGTTAA